TGATGAGGAGCACTGGGTGGTGGGAAGTGACCATTCACCCAATAAGCTCTCTTTGGAGGGGATCCATTTTAAACATTAAGGGGACGGTGAACCTTGTGTGAGTGAGTATGGACAAAATTGCTCTTTTGCAATAGAATGTAAGTCTCAGGGAGTGAGGGCAGATATCTACACTCCCTATTTGCAGCAGCTTCCCCTAAATAGCAGAGGCGTCAGACAAGAGGGTGGATGTAGAATACTGCATATTCTAAATTTTTATTGATTATGTATGGATGTCTGGATTGACATAAATAACAGATGGTATCAATTAGTCACAAGGCTTTCTTTGTCTGAGAACTCTGGAATGTGGATTGGGGGTCTTGTCCTTATATGTCTAGGGTTACACTATGATGTAATTATGGTCATATCTATATAGAATAGGGGACAAAGGACCACAAGGTCTTGCTGTTGCTTGCTGCACAAAGTTGTTCTTCTTGTCCAGCTGTCTAACTATGCAGACTCAAACTCTTCCTTCAGGAGTCCAGCAAGTACCGTCTGCTGTAGAACATCCATTATCCTGTAACAGCCTTTGTTGTTTTATTATGTATCAGTAGCTGTAAGAATAAATGTGAAGAAACTGTAAGTCATATTGCGTATTAGTATTTTTGGTTGATATAGACGTATATTAACATTGCGAGCCTTTTACCCAAGAAGAAATATACATAAAATAATTATTTCAATCAACTGGAAAAAGACACAGAAGAAATGAGAATGTATTACATTGGCCGGCCAGCCAGTCTTCTATTCAAGTTTTTTTTAGTTTTTATTTTTATTAGTTTTTTTGCAGTGGATGAAAATGGTACAGGCAGGCATGAGGTGCCCCAAAAGCAATCCTCAAGCTATTTCCTCGCTTACACGCGGGACACACGAGTAACAGGCACAATTATATAGTTTTAGCAGGCTTAGTCTCTTAGATCGTTCTTTAAACTGTTTAACTAACAAGGTATAAATTTAGTGCTAGAGCTTACATTACTAACTGGCAATGATATGTCTATGATAACACATCTATTCTATACACATTGATAATACTAGTAATTCTTAAGGCTATAGATATGTAAGTTTTTGGTCACAGCACTGGCTAGTATGGCTTAGCGTGAGAGAACATTGTCTCTGAGAATATCACCCTATTTAATCGAAGCTTCCGGCGGCTCCACAGCAGGTAGGGGTCAGCAGCATGGTGGTCTTGGGGTCACATGTATGGAAGCAGTATTTTGGTTAGCCACTCTGCTGTATTGGTGAAGCAGGGGGTTTGTGTCCATTAGGTCAGAAAGCTGGGTTTCATACATGCTGGCTTCAAGTTGCCATCGAGGTAAGTTGGGTCTGCCCTGTTCATGTTTCAGGGGACTAGTGTCCTCCGTGGTATGGTGCAGGATGGCATCTGGGAAAACTTGCTGCCTCTCTCCCCGCTGGGTTTGCCTTGGTCTCTGCGATATTAGCCAGGTTTGAGGTGAGTGTGGGGTCAGCTTCGCTGCAGGATTACCCCACCTGTCGGCAAGAGTAGTTGTTTCTGGAGGGAATAGTCTCCATGTGCTTCGTCCCCTCGGTGTGGCATTTGTCTGTAGTGTGGATGGGGCACCTTCACAACTCAACCGGGGTTGGGCAGCTGCAGGGACAGGTGAGGGTCGCGCCGCTCATCCTCCTCATGAGGTCGGAAGGCCACGGGTCCATCGTGCTTGAGCCCGGGAGCTGTGCTGGGAACTGTTGGCATGGGGAGAGAGCAGGATGTACCTCTGCCTCTTAAGCACATGGCAGCCGCCAGTTGCTGCACTCGGGCCACCGACCACTGTAACGTTGTTGCTGTGCTTTGGTTGTGGTGCTGTGGTCTGGGTGGCCATCTTATTTGCTGCGCTCGGGCCACCGCCACTGTAACGTTGTTGCAGTGCCTTGGTTGTGGTGCTGTGGTCGGGGCCATCGGCTGAGGACTGGGATGACCCCAGTCCTCACCCGATGGACTATAGGGGGGGAACTGGGCCTGGTCCACTCGGAGCTGGGCCTCTGGCTGGGCGCTGTTTGGTAGGAGGCCCCGACTGAAACATAGAGGGTTTCTCCTCGAGGGGACTGCAGCTCGATGAGCCAGCCTCTCCCTTGGTCCAGTGTGCCCCATGTGCTGAGGTCTGTGACTGTTGGTCTGCTTTTGGGCTGTAGGTCATGTTTTGATGCCCTAATCATAGAAATCTTGCAGGAGCGATCTTGCTTGCGACCATCCAGCTCGGCGGTCCGGCCCCACCCCACCCACCTTCTATTTAAGTTTTGTTCCCACTTCCAGGAGGGAGAGAGAGAAGAATTAAGTTACAAAGCTGAGTTTTGAAGCTGGGAAAACAAACTTGAAGAAAAAAAAAAGAATCTAGACTGTGTCACAGAGACTAAGAATATTTGCACAGAAAAAGAACTGTGTGAAGAACTGTGTTTGTAAGAAAAAAGTTTTCAAACTAGAAAGACTATTTTCTACAACTGAAAAATAGCGCAAGATACAACGTGAATTCTGCAAGCAAGCACGTGGCAGAGATTGGCAAGTTTCCA